CATCAGCAGCAGCATCATCATTATCATCATCAGCATCATCATCCTGATCATCATCATCATCATCATCATCATCATCATCATCGAATCATCATCATCATCATCATCATCATCATCATCATCATCATCATCATCATCATCATCATCATCATCATCATCATCATCATCATCATCATCATCATCATCATCATCCTCTTCCCCTTCCTCCTTCCTCCTGGCTGGGGGGGCCCAAGGGATGGAGCCCCACAGGCGCGCGGCCTCAAACAGCGAAGCTTCAGCTTGGGATCCCTGCGCTGCCCCGTCCTCATAAACGAACAAACAAACAGAGAGAAACGGCACCAACATGAACGTTCGGCGATCCGCGCGGACCTCTTGGGCCTGCGCTGGGCCCCCCTCCCTGGCGCGCGCGGAGGCTCCAGCGCAGATCCAAGAAGGCCGCGCGGACCGTCGAAAGTTTACACCTATACAGTTTGTTCTTCTTCGTCCTCAAAGTCAACCCGTATAAGAAGGACGCGCGATAAGGATGCAAGGACCTTGGAAGGCCACGTCGACACTTTGCGAGCGGGGCGCGGCTGGCGAAAGCGGCCAACGACGGGCCGAAGGGGATGGGTGCGAGGGCAGCCTTGGGAAATTGCTCCTCCTTGCTGTGCGGGTTGACTGCAGGGCCCCGTCCCTCAGGGCCCCCATCCTTGAACCGCCGACCCCTCGTGACACACTCCCCCCCGCCCCCGCTCTCGGGCACAGGCTGAAACGGAGAACGGGCCCGCGCCTCTGGCGCGTGGGCGCCGCCAGGTCCCCGGATCCCCCCGAACTCTGACATAAAGATGGTGCCGCTGGATTTCACGACTCAGCGCGTCGATGTCGCATGGAAGTGGGACCCGTCGCTTATCCACGCGCCTTCACCCGTGCTTCCGCTTCCTCCACGTCGAAGGTGATCTCGGCCATGGAGCCGGGCAGCAGGGCCAGGCGGTGTTCCTGTGGGGTATCTGGCGGCCTTGCAGGGTGCACTTCGATACCCACCCATGTAAGTGATCTGCTGCCCTTATGGCTGCAGATCAGGCTGGATATGATATGTAGTAAGCCAGAGGCGCCAAGAAGACCCTGAGTCGCTTCTCAACTGTCCCGAGGCCTGGCAAGGGCCCCCAGAGACCTAAAACAGCGAAAGAACTCCCGTCATGATTCTGCTCCTGACACGAGGGTGTCTGGGATCCACGCGCCGTCACCGAACGAACGAGTGTGCGAGGGGAGGTCAAGGCAAAGAGGGTTCTGCAAATGCTGTCGGAAGTGATCCACCGTTGCGTGCGGAACGCGTGAGTGGAAGCTCGTTCCTCTAAGCCTCCTGGAGCCTGACAGCAACGGCACGACAATAATGATCAGCCGCCACCGCGCCCATCCAACCATCCAACCGCGCCCACCATGATGCTTCGGTAGCGCGCACAAGGGAGTAGGGGGAGGGGGGGAGGCTTCTTAGAAGGAGGCTGCCAGCCCTGTATCTATGGAAAAGGTTCGCGTCTTCTACGAAGCAGTGTAAGCAGGGGTGCTCTAAGAAGCCTTCCCCCCTGCGTGGCCGAATGCTTCCGCTTCCTCCACGCTCCCCCGACCCGAAGCGGAGGGCGTGGAGGGGCCAGGCCAGCGGTCGCTGCCGCGGGGGTCCTCCAGGTCGCCCGCGTGCGCGTCCGTGATGGCGCCCGGCCCCCACTGCGGCCAAACGCCTGACGCCAACGGACAGCGCCCAGCCTCCCCCTTCGCACAAGACCTCCGGGCTCGCAATGTTTCCCTCTCCCTCCCTCCCTCCCTCCCTCCCTCCCTCCCTTCCTCCTTCCCTCCTCTCCTCCTCCTCCTCATCCTCCTCCTCCTCCCTCCTCCTCCTCCTCCTCCTCATCCTCCTCCTCCTCCTCTCCTCCTCCACGTCCTCTTCCACGTCCTCCTCCTCCTCCTCCTCCTCCTCTCCTCCTCCTCCTCCTCCTCCTCCTCCTCCTCCTCCTCTCCTCCTCCTCCTCCTCCTCCTCCTCCCTCCTCCTCCTCCTCCTCCTCCTCCTCCTCCTCCTCCTCCTCCTCCTCCTCCTCCTCCTCCTCCTCCTCCCCTACCTACCTCCTCCTCCCTACCTCCTCTCCTCCCTCCCTCCCTCCCTCCCGCCCTCCCTCCCTCCCCCCGTTCTCCCTCCCTCCCTTCTCTCCTTCTCCCTACATCCTCCTCCGCATCCTCCTCCTCCTTCTCCTCTCCTCCTCCTCCTCCTCCTCCTCCTCCTCCTCCTCCTCCTCCTTCTCCTCCTCCTCCTCCTCTTCCTCCTCCTCCTCCCTACCACCTCCTCCCTACCTCCTCCTCCCTCCTTCCCTCCCTCCCTCCCGCTGGCTCATGAGATGCCTCCGTTGGGGGACATCGACAAGCTCATGAGATGCCTCCGTTGGGGGCTTGGCCGCTCTGCCTTTGCGAATGCAGCCGAGGGGCGTCTTCGCGCCGACGAAGGGCGCGCGGCCGAGCTACTGCGGAGCAACACTGCAGACGACATCTTCGAATACTTCAACACTCTTCTCCGCGACGTGGGCAGAGCACACTTTGGCGCTGATGCTGGCCGCGTTCGCTCCCCGATGGCTGATGAACGGCTTCTCTCACTTGCTCTACGACGCGATCTACGCCTCCTCCTGGCTGAAGCTCCCGCGGCGGAGCAGGAGGCGGAGGTGGCGGAGGCTGTCAAGGAGGTCACCAAGGCGAATCGGGCCTACCTTGCCGCGGAAGGTCGGCACCAGCGCGCCGCGCTCGTGGACGAGGCGCCTGAGATGTGGCGGCAGAGGCGCGTCGCCGAGTCCCCCCGCCTCTTCAGGCGGGCCGCGGGCTCGCGCTTCGGGCCCAAGAAGCGGGACTACCTCCCGGCGCGCGGGGTCGTCGACTCGCCCGAGCAGCTGATCGAGCTGTTCGCGCAGCCAGGCCCCGAGGGCGGCATGGCCTCCACCGAGATCGACGATTGGGAGCTGCGGCGTAGTGAGTGCCTCTCTTTTCGCCCACCGTTACCGCCGCCAGTCCCTGCACGCAGGATTGCTGCGGCGGCCGACTACTCTTGCTTTCGCAAAGGACTCAGGAAGGCGAGCAAGCGTCGAGCGGTCCCTGAGTAGCCCGTACCACTTGAACTATGATGGCTGATGTGTCATTCGAGCCGTGGAGTCTCTAGGCGCGGCGCGGGCCTTGGCCAGTCGACGGCGCGCCTCGAGGCCCCTCTCTTCCGTGAAGCTCTATTTGATAGCTTTTTCATTTTTCGTCGCTCCTCCCACCCTTCAATTCGTTGGCACTGCAGCAGCTGGTGCGCCTATCTCGCGGAAGGGGGGCATGACCAACGTGGATCCACTTGCTCGACCCCGTGGGAAAGACATGGATGGGTGGGGCGATGGCTCAGCGGGGCGGGGGGAAGGTGAGCGATCAGGATCACGGGCTCGTGGCGCGGAGGCGCCGCGAAGGAGCGCTTTTAGTCCAGAATGTCAGCGGATTTGTGCGCCAGAATGCTGGACGCCAGCATCTAACCAAACGTCACGATCTTTCCAATGCCTTCGGTTCGAGTGCGTGGCATGGAATGCAAGATGCCGTTAACAAAATGTTTCTCCCCTCGGCCGTCACTTTTGGGAGGCAGAGGTATCGGCTTGCGTGCGTGACTCTGGGTGGGTGGGATCGGGAGGTCATTCTGCGTCCCAGCTGTGGCGGATTGCTTCTCTCCTGCTGTCGATGCTTGGCAACACCGACAGACCCAATGGGACCCTCATCATGATTTCCTGCGTGCGCGATGCCTTACATCACTGGGGTGGCAGGATCTGTCACTCACCAAGTATGCTGACGATTTAACAAAAAAAAGCTAGTAGGCTCACGCTTTTCTTCGTTAGAGAGCCTGGTCGATCTCAGCATTAGATCCAACGCTGACCTAGATTGTGAACTGGAGCAGCGTGGGTATCGATAAAACACCGATAAGCAGGACACCCTTGCAGGCATATGTGGCCGAGGTGCGGGGCGGGCTCTCGAAGCGCTCCGCACCGGTGAACTTGCGATCCCAGGAAAGGCGTCCCAGGTCGTGGTCAGTCTTGGGGCTCGCCTTAATTCGAGTTCGACTCGATGTAGTTCCGAATAACGAGCGCGAGCGGAAGCTATGCGCGTAGGTGACACTCTCTTGGCAGTTTCTGGTCTCTTTCAGGTGTCCCCTACCGCGTGCGCAAGTAGATGCTTCTCAGCAAAGTCTATAACACGGCCCTATCAGGGTTCGAATCCTTCCTGCCTTATCCAGCCGAATATGCTAGGCTTACTGCTGCTGTAGCTCAATATGCCCGAAAAGCGATGAGGGGCAAAGTTTGTGTGTTCTCTGAATCATCCCACCCTGTTTCTCTCAGCAATGAAGCGGTCTTGAAATATTGGCGCATCGTGCCGATTGAGCTTGAGGCTCGGATTCGTCGCACTAGGTACCTCCAAGAGCTCCTGACGCACCCCACCTCTCACAAACAGGTTCTTGCTGCTCTTTTCGGCTTCCTGCCCTCTGCCCCCACCTTCCCCCCCTCAGGTAGTCTTGATGTGCTAGCGAATCCCTGGGCCAAACGAGCCTGGGAGGATCTCGAAGCGATGCCCGTGATAGATGAGGCTGGCCTCTCTTGGGGACCAATGCCAGCCCTCCCTATCGGACCCAGAGATGATCGAGGATTTCTTGGAGATTGATGTGCGACAGCTACGGAGTCAAATTTTGTCGGAACGAGTGCCCCCTCCTGAATGGGATGCTCCCGCTGCCGCTCATGATCCTCCACGTGTCTTTGCTCGGGACGGTGTGTATCGCTGCTGCTTTCCTAATGCTGACGGGACGTTGCGCGGGCCCTTCTTACCAGATAAGCGGCGAGTTCATACTCAGATCATCGCTCGACACGGGTATCGTGAACTGGGGCACGTTCTTTGAGTGGCCAACGGGTGTTGCTGGTGTCGCACGGTATTCTCGAGTCGCGTGACGTGTCGACGACATCTAGAGCTTTCGCTCACGAGGGGATTATGTAAAGTTCCTGCTGTCCGTCATCTTTGTTCTGCTGTGCCTCCAGCTCTGCTTGACTGTCCTCTGTGTGATTTTGTCGGCGGCCATTTTGCTCAGCTTCAGCTGCACCTGCGCGAGCACCTCCCTGGGCCTCTTAGAGTGGTGCGCTTGCGGCCTGGGCACGGCCATGGACGCCCCCCCGGCATGGGCGATCAACTCCTCGGCGGCCGTGGCCGGCGGCCAAGAGGACAAGAAGCGGAAGCTGGCCGTGCACGCCAAAGCCAAAGGTGGAGATTTGCTCAAGAACCTCGCCATCGCGCTCACAAACTTGAGCCTGTCCAACGCGGCAGAACTTCGAGACGTATGTGGAGTGGTGTTCGTCACCTTTTTGGTCGCGGCCGAGCAGGTCGCGGTCGCGGCGGCGAAACAGGCGGGGGTCCTCTACCACCAAGAGATCCAGAGGAGGAAGGAGGCGAGTGCCGAGACGGAGTCGCTGGGCCCGCCGTTCGTCCACGTCTGGACGGCCCTCATCAAAGCCGTGGGCATGGACCCTCAGGCGGACATCAACGTGAAGCAGACCCTGGAGAAATACTGGGGCGAGGTGGTGCTAAAGGTGCAGGTGATCGATCTCGCCGACCATGTGCGCCACTGTCGGGTGCGCACGACGCGCAAGCAAGAGGCGAAGTGAGGAAAGCTTCGCCTGACCTTCGGGGTGGACCATCGCTTCAGCGAGTTGGAGACGGCGCTGATCACTTACTTCAGCAAAGTGGGGCAGCGGAAGTACGGGCCAGCACCTCGCGGAGCCCTGGAGCGGGACGCGTGGAAGATGCTGGAGCAGCTCACGGCATGAGCGGCGAAAGTGGGAGTGATCGTAGGTTGGGGAGTGGCTTTGAGGATCCAGCTCAGCGAGGTCGAGGTACCGCAACGGTGACCCCCAACGCAGTTTTGAGTGGCCTGACTTCGGCATCCTCGAGTGCCGGTCGTGTAGGGACTGGCTCAAGGGATGCAGTTCCTCGACCATCGTCCTCGAGTGCCAGTCTTGCGGGAGATGCTGTTCCTCGGTTTCCTCTTGTTCCTGCAGTGACCAGCGCGCCCAGAGAGATGTGCACAGTTGTGCCAGCAGCCTTTAAAACTTCAGCCCATTTTAGGCCTTAGTCGAGCGTGGAGAGTTCCTCCCTGCTTCCTCGTCCTCGAGCTCTGCGGCTGCTGCTGCTTGCCCTCCCTCCGCTCCTCAGGACTTCTCACTCTCCGAGGGTGGTTGTTGTTTAAGAAGTGTCTCGGGAGCCGAGAGGATTCGTTTTGTGCCCAAGGTCCGAAAGCAGCATGTCAAAAAACGTCCTAGTTCGAATGCCAGCGGGGCTTAACTGCGAAAGTATGGCGGTGGCATCACCCCCCTCACTGGTATTCCCCAGTTTCAGGGCGGGTCGAGGCCTGTGCAAGTTCCACAACCTACAACGCCAACCGCTGTGGGAAGCTTCATCTTTGATGCCATTCAGGTGCTAACTTGTTTCAAGTTTGTATGTCAGTAGGCACACACACACATGTGATAGCACCCCAGAGTTGCCTTGCCTGCCTTGCCTTGCCTCCCCCCCCCTCCTCCTCCTCCTCCTCCTCCTCCTCCTCCTCCTCCTCCTCCTCCTCCTCTCTCTCCTCCTCCTCCTCCTCCTCCTCCTCCTCCTCCTCTCCTCCTCCTCCTCCTCCTCCTCCTCCTCCTCCTCCTCCTCCTC